CTCAATCAAGTGCTGAGAGAAATGTGTATTGAGTCCCTTGTTCCTAAGCCTGAAACTGGCTTCTTCTTTGAAATCATCATAAAGTACCACCCACAGATTTGTAAGCTTCTAAAGAAGTTCTGAGCAAGGTAGCAGGAGGGTCTGAGCATTGTGTCTTTAAAAGTGTGTGCTTACCTTATTACATAACTGACTTGGCTTATGAGCAGAGAAAAAGGGAACTTGGGGGAAAATGTACCATTGGCCGCAGTCAGTGGGCTTTCACCACTGACTGTAAACAGGACACCCAATCCTTTGCAGGAAGTTGACGTACGTCTCCCATAAAGAATGTGTATTGTCCTGGGATCATTTGATTCCATTTTCAAAATGAGCGTGTGTGGCAGAATAAAGTGGAAAGGAGGCAGTGGTAATTGGTCAAGATTTCCAGAGACATAAACAAAATATTTTCGAAGCAACCTTTTGCAGAAGAATTGGTATTAAATCATTGTTGCTAGATGGTATGCCCTGGTTCTATGTAATGGAAGGTTAAACAGATTCTTGAAACAACAAAAACACCCTTCCAAATGATCGATTTTGCCAGGGCAATACAAAAGGGCTTTGCCCATTTTGGTTTTGATTGCTTCCGCTTGACACAGGAATGGTAATTTCAGAACACAGGCACTGTCGTACCTTGCATGAAAGCAAGACATCAATTGTGGAGATATAATCAGAAACTACATTGCCTTATGTTTTATTTCCTTTAATCATTCTTCTTCCTTGATGGAGTGCTGGGGTTTCTAATAGAAAAGGGGAGTTTTCGAATTGCAGACTTGGAAGAATGGTTTCGAATAGCCATCTTTAGCTTTTAAATTGCCAGGAGTCTGGTAATAACATGTCATTTTCAGGGTAATTGCTAACTATACTATTATATTGATATATATTAAAAATGGAGATCTACCTGTGAAAATGGATGCTAATAGCAAATCTGGTATTTCCAAGCCAATAATTGGAAATCTTTTTGAATGATATGCCCAATCGTGCATCTGAAGCCCCAATGTGGTAAACAGTGATTTACTCCTTTATTGAAGAGCATAGTACAGCCTCATAAGTCGGCTATTCAGCACGTGATCATCGGCAGATTTAGTTACAATGATGTTGTGTGACTGTCATCCTAGTTCTCATTTGTGCCCTCCCACTTCATTTGCATTGCAGTATTGATTGCACTACAAGTGAAAGCCCTTTTGGGGGAAATGAGATTCAATCATATTAATCTTACTTAATTAACTAGTCCAAATCTGAAGAAGTGTCTTTACGGCCTAATAAAGTTATTGATAAAATTGATAAGAACGTAGTGATCCTCGAGATATCTCACAGTTCTGCAATAAAAGGCCAGTTTGTTAGAGCATAAACTCACAGCTGCTCCTACGAATCATATGTTGAAAACGTCACCTGAAAGCACCCTGCAAGGGAAGTGAAAAGACTTCAATCTGAGATCCAAAGGCTAGTGGATGGATGGGAAGGGTTGCTTGGAAGGCCCCTTCCAAGGCCATATTGGTGCCATGGTGTTGGACAATGTTTTTCCCTCGTATTTATTTTGGCCAGCAATCCTTCTCCCTCAGAGTAGTCGACAGTTTCTTGTGTGGGACACTGGAAACACAAGTTGGGTGCATGGTTGGACGGTGGGGGAGTGGGTGGGGAAGAGGAAACCAATTTCTGGTAATGTTTAGGGAGAGAAACCATCACACCAAAGAGCTAGGCAGCAGACAGCGCAGGAGGAAGGTGCATAAGGTTATACAGTGTAACTGCCTCCATTTCCTTCCCGTCAGTTACTTTAGTCTGTTACTTTACTTGGCAGACCATCTTATAGCAGGGATGTTTTACCTGCCCTGGCTAATTCTGGGCAGGCTAAAGCTAGTTAGCACAGCCGTGCTTGTCCCACTTGCAAAAATCACTGAGATATTTGGCTGAGAACTTTCTAAGGGATTCAAAGCCTATTTTGAACATTTACTGAGCACTTATAATGCGTAGGTCACAGAACTTGCCACTCGAATATTGCAAGGTGTAAGACAGAGGGTCTCCCTTCCAGGAGCCCATGTCCTAATGGGAAACATAGAAAAGTAATGAACTGCACAACACGATGTGTTATAATAACCAACCAATTCTCCTGGAGTTGACTCTGTCTCAGGGAACACCCTTTTTTTCTACAGTCAACCATGGCTCCATTGGACTTTCAGTGGCTAGTCACTGGGCCCTTCTTCCAAGATACCTCTGGACGAACTCAAACTGCTTGTGCTGGCCCCAGCCGAGCCCTTCACTGTTTGTACCCTCCAAGGACTCTAAGCGTTATAAGTAGAGCTCTGCAGAACAAACAATAGAAGTACAAAGGAGGGCAGAACTAAGTGAATGAGGCATCAGGGAAGCTCAGCTTTGAAGGAAGAATGGGGGTTCCCAGAGCAGACAGGATAAAGAAGGGAATTCTGGATATAAGGAATGTTGTTGTTGGTGTTGTTGTTGTCGTCGTCGTCGTCAGATGTTGTTGACTCAGTTCCTACTCTTAGGAACCTTAGACACAACAGAACGAAACACTGCCCAGGCCCCTGCCATTCTCTCAATTATTCTTACATTTGAAGGAATAGTACGTACAAAATACAGAGAGGAGTGGGGAGGTATGAGAAAGAAATTATATATTTTTCCTTATATAGCTAGAGTGTAATATACAAATGAGAGAGCAATGAGAGGAGAGACTGAAGGAAGTAGGCAAGAACCAAATTAGGAAGGATTCTATATTTGTTAATAATAAGGAACATATCCCTTATCTTTTTAAATATAGTTTTATTGACAATATGGCTCACTTTTATAGTTTAGTCATATTGATACGAGTTGTACAGTTACCTCCACAATCAGTTCCAAAATATTTTCTTCCCTCTTTGTGCTTGTTAGTAGCTTCTAATTTCCCTCCAACCCACACCCACACCCAATCTCCCAATAAGCTTCTAATTATTGTCTCTATAGTTTCACCCATCTTAGTCTTCATATACTAGAAAACATACTCACCAAAAAAGACCAACAATAATAACAAAATAAGCCAGAGGGAAAAAAATCCCCAATTGAGAAAGAAGCAGGGAGTATTAAAAACTAGAACATGTAGGTCAAAAGGGAGATCAATTGATCAGGGAGATCACAATGTAACCAATTTATACCTGCCATGGTTGAGTTTACCATATTCTCTGTCTGAGAGCAAAGCTATGCACATCACTCAACTGTGGTTAGCGGGGATTCATCAGGTAGGACTAAAAAGACATAGAGAACCCGCAAATGGATTTTGGGTTCCCACCACCTTCTGCAAATCTGGTACTCATGATTTTACCTCTGATAGCATTCCCTCCTTCACATTTGGATTTTATTGTTTACAATCCTCGAATCACACAGACTGGTGTACTGTAGTAGTAGCAGAAATGGAAAGGAGGAAACTAGTTCAACAAATTTTAGGAGATAGACTCAGTGGCAATGGATAGTTAATTGGATAAAGAGAATGAAAGAAAACAAAGAGGCTGGTTGATGCCTAGGTCTCAACTTGGATAACCGCATATACATTGTGAGGTTATTGTTGTTAGGTACCTCTGAGTTAGCTTCTCACTCATAGTGACCCAATGACCAACAGCAGAGTGAAACAGTGCTCAGTCCTGTGGCAACCTCACGATCATTTCTATGTCCTAGCGCAATATTGCAGCCACTGTATCAATCCATTTTGTGGCGGGTCTTACTCTTTCTTACCGCTCTCTGCTTTACCAAGCATGATGTCCTTTTCCAGGAACTGGTCTCTCCTGATGACATGCCTGAGGTAAATGAGACACTTTGAAGTCTCACTAGCCTCTATTCTAAAGAGCATTCTGGCTGTACAGATGTGGTTGTTCTTTGGGCAGACCATGATACTTTCCATATTCTTCCCCACCACCGGAATTCAAAGGCATCCATTCGTCTTCAGTCTTCCATATTCACTGGCCAGCTTTCACACGCCTATAAAGCATCCCATGGCTTAGGTCAGGTGCACCTTAGTCCTCACAGGTAACGTTCTTGGTCTTTAGCACTTTAAAGAGGTCTTGTGCAGCAGCAGATGTCCCCAATGCAACCTGTCTTTTGAATTCTTGGCTGTTGTTTCCATGCACGTTGGTTGTGACACACACACACACACACACACACACTAAAAGAAGGCGAGAACACAAAAAGAAGAGACTACATATAAATGATTAACTGTTTTAAGAGTGTGAGCTACAAGTGATGCATTGAAGTGTCTGCAGAGAACCCGCACCTAAGGCAGTCTCAGCATAATGCAAACAGGCGTTTCGGCTGTGGGTATGGCTGCAATTGCCCAAGGAAAATGACTGCCAGCAATAGTCCAGCATGGTCATAAGTCAGTATCGGTTTCTTCTGCACTGATGATTGTGAGATCAGGTCCAAACGAGTGGAAAATTCAAGTCCCTTTCTTATAGGTTTGCAGTATATTCTAGCGGCATGATTTCTTTTCTTTTCACCGAAGGAAGTAGATTACCTTCCTGATTGTGTTTTGCTAAGGTTAATATTAAAATTGAATGAGATTCCTTTTTCAGGAACTATTGCCAGGGGAGGGTACTCTGAAGTCAGACAGGTGAGTGCCAGGCATCAGGAAAAAGCCAGGCAGAGATGAAAACTTCACCATGGAGGACTCATAGAGGCCAGAGGGGAAGGAGCTCATTAAAGTCAGTCATCAAGTGCTTCTTTGATGCATTTGGAGTCAGTATGGACGGGACTGGTTGTACTACTCTGTTCACAGATGGACAAACTGAGGCAAAGTGTGACGCTCTCATTCGTTGTAGTAATACAGCGCATTTCACTGAAGTTCTCCTATGCCATGCCATGCCCACCTGCCTTCTTGATTGAACCATGAGAGAGAAATACAAATCCTGCCAACATTATTGTGTGGTAATTGCTTCTCTCTCTCTCCTCTCTCTCTCTCTCTCTCTCGATCTCGTTTTTCTGGTGCATAGGAATCATACATAAAGGGAATGGAGAAAATATGTTCATTTCCCAGCAGCCTTCAGTCATATCCACCATTATGGGCAATGGGCACCAGCGGAGTGTAGCCTGCACCAACTGCAACGGCCCAGCCCATCACAACAAACTCTTTGCTCCTGTCGCCTTAGCTTCTGGCCCTGATGGCAGCGTGTATGTTGGTGACTTCAATTTTGTAAGGCGCATATTTCCCTCGGGAAACTCCGTTAGTATTTTGGAATTAAGGTAAGTCTCCTCTAGTCTCCATGTGGGCTTATCGGATAAAGAAGCAAGAATAAGATAACATGAAGAGACAAGGGCTTTGCCAGAGGTGCAAAAATAATTAAACAAACAAACAAAGCAAGAAACCAGGAATGACCCAGGATATGGCAGTGGGTTAAGATGCAGGAATAGGGACTAAGGACATAGTCAAACATGACCATCCCTCCTACTTGAAGGAACCTTTGAGCACTGCTTTGGAGAACCAGGAAGTGTTGTCATCCCCATGTGTGTGTCTTCCCTGTGTGCAATGTCATCACTGACATGGATCTCAGTACTTCCAAGTGCTCAGGTAAGTCATTCACCTCCGCTTAGGCACCCCCCTGAGACTGATCCAAAGCACCTCTTCCGTTCCATCAGGTAGAGAGACTGACAAATGCAAAAGGAGAAACTTTCTAAGTAGTTGAGGTCCAACGTTTTAATAATGAAGAAAGGGGAAGTCTGTGATGGCTTAGCCTGATAAGAAGAAAGAACCAGTTGTTTGCCCTTGAAAACTCTACCTCCCTGTAAACGATTAGAGCATTTCTCTCGACCCCTTTCTCATTCTATTCTAGGGATTTTCTTGAGCACACCAAGACGTACGGTGACACCTTTAGGGAAGCATTCCAATCTTTGGGTAGTTACCCAAGATGACATAGACTCTGCTTTCATCTGCCGTTTCTCCTTTGTGAGAATATAAAACATAAACATGCCCTCTGGGGACATAGAGAAGGGGAACATCCATCTGCAGCCTCCAAGGGAGGGTATCTCTTCCCTGGATGAACTGGGAGAGCCTTCCTTCGAATCGGGTAGGGCAGCTGTGTCCCTAACACATGCCTTCAGAACAGTAGGCTGCAAATGACCCCCTGTGACAGAAGATGTTGCTGCTATCCTTGAAACTAGTTTGTAACATAATTGTGGGTGGAGCAATCACCTCAATGACCTGGAAAATAGTGACCAAAAACAGGGACTGAAAAAAATATACATCAGGATGGTAGGAACAGAGACATTCATTTAACCATGGTTAGGGACTCAGTGGCTAACCGGAAGGTCAAGGGTTCAAGTCTGCCAGCTGCTCTTCAGGAAAAAGGACCTGGGAATCGGCTCTGATAAAAGTTACAGCCTAGGAAACCCTATGGGCCATGCTTCTCTGCCCTCAAGAATGAGTCGGAACCTACTAACAGCACACAACATGTACAGAGCACCATCAAGGACAGTGCAAACATATAAGAAATCTTGGGACATTTTCATTTTGCATAGCGATCCCCAGTGGCATAGTAGTTGTGCTTTGGCCTACCTGCAAGGTCAACAGTTTGAAGCCACCAGCCACTCCCAGGGAGAAAGACAAGGCTTTCTACTCCCTTAAAGAGTAGCAGTCTCAGAAACCTACAGGGGCGGTTCTACCCTTTCCTATGGGGTTGCTATGAGTCAGAATCAACTTGATGGCAGCAAGAAGGGTTGTGATAGATGTATATATATTTTGCACACCAGCATGTACATCTGAATACAGTAGGACAATCCTCAACTTTTCCCCAGATTCTTTTGATTGCTTTGCTGAGAAACCTCTTGGTTCTTGGACTGAGCTATTCCTTTAGATCTAGCTGGGGAAATCTCCTAGGCCCACCCCCCTCCTCCATTTTTCCAATTAAGTCACTCCAGTTTTAATACATTTCTTAATTATAATTGCAAAGGCTGTCATAGGGAAGAAAGCTGTTAAATCCTTTGGCTAATAAAAAAAAAAGGATTGTGAAGTTGACTCTATACGCTGAAGGTGCTCCCGGGTCTGAGGAAGTCACACCTTCCATGGACCTGTCCCTCCTGTCACTGCAGCTCTTGGGGCCCCTGCTCACTGGAAAGTCAACCAAGGTCAAGATGGTTCTATGTTTGCATTTTGGAAAAGACTTACACAACATTCTACATTGTGTTCTCAACCACCACCGGGTTTCTACACATGGACAGAAATGCAAGATCCCAATGTTTTTAGTCCTGCAGGCATACAGACCTGTCTTGACTAGAAGATCTAGTACTTACAGCTCAGAGAAAAACAATTGAATTATCTATAAAAGCAAAAGCCAAAAGAATATGACTCTAAAGAAAACCTGGCTGAGTACAACCCTTTCCTTTGTAATTTAAATGCAAATGTACCTAAGGTGGAGCAATTGTCATTCATTGATGGGATTCTCTCTTGGTCAAGGATCCTTAACAGTTCACAAATTTGCCTTTGGTCCAAAGTCCCTTCTGACCTTCAACACAAAATCATTTGAAGAATAAAATAGAATAACTTTGGCCCCTCATTACAAAGTGATTTTCTCAGGAGAAGAAAAATTCGTTTCTGACAGTTTGAAGTATCGTCCAATGCCTCTATTCATTCTCACTCCACCACATGGTTCTCTCTCATTGCCATAGCCCTTCGAACATGGAGCTCTGCACACCCCCTATGCTGTCCACACACCCAGAGTCTGTCAGCCTTGGTCTCCCTAGCTGGTTTCTCTGAGCTGAAATCCTCTCGCTCAACTTGTACTTCTTGATTTAGTTTCAGACCCCTCTGAGAATCTCTGGAAGGCTATGGACTCTCTAACCCCCAAAGGCCCATTCCCACAAATTTGTATGTGTGTTTGCTTTCAGGGGCCACATATCTTGCCCTTTTCCATAACCCTGTCCTGATAGATGAAGTGTGTTCTTAGACTCGTGGCTACAGGCCCCTACATTACAGTTAAAGGAGAAAAGCCTTCCTTCAAGGCTCGGTGTTGTGATTGGCTAAGAGAGAAATAAGCTGATGAAAAATATACATGATTATTTTGATGTATTTGACAGGTCACTCACTAGTTGCTTGACTATAGCTGTCATGTTTATTCAGAAAGCATCATAGTTCTTATTAGATTCACCTTTTTTAGAAAGTATCTATCTTGATCAGTAGTCTATACATCATCACATTTTTCATATACAATTTGTGCAGTTAAATATGTCCCTTAGAGCGTGTCCAGCTTTAAACTTTGTGACGAGAACTCAGGTGATTTAAGGAGACCACGCTATCTTGAGAAGCATCGCGTTCATTGAGTGCTACTGTCTTTCGGCAGACACTTTGTTGTTAAAAGCGTTTCATTTCATTGCCCCACAGACCCTCCCAGTGCATCCTGTCTTCTGTTTTGGTTGAATGATCTGTTTCCTTGGAAACACCCATTAATGTAGTCATTATATCATTGATTGCATTTAAAATTGTGAGCGGAAGAGCAATATTGTCAACAGGTTTCTATAGCGAGGCATCTTCTAGGGCTTCGCCCTCTGGCAGATTACTCATTACATAACTTTCAACAATTAACTGCTCTCTTCTCTACTTCCCAATCCATGAAATTGACTTGATGTTTACATCAGAGCGTCCTCTCTCAATTTAACTCGTTTGGAGATCCACAGCTATGTAGTGCAACCCTCACAATTGGGAAAACCTTTCAGAAAAACCTGTCCCTGAGAGTTGTTCTTCTATATTTCTTTCTCTTCCTTCTTCTTTCTCTTGTCTTTTGGGCCACACTGAGCATTCCAGACCCAGAAGACTGGAAGACTACAGATCGGGCCTACCTTAGAACTCCTGACCTAAACTGGGCTTCGTTGAGCGTCTCTGCTCTGAGCACCAAAATAACTTCATGTTCGTGGGGTGCCAGTCATTTATGGCTTCCAGCTTGTTCCCCATGGGCGGAACAGGGGGAGAGAAGAGAAGTCAGTGGATGTCATCTCATCAGAAATCTGCTAAGAGCAACAATAGTATTTCTTGTTATTTAAGACTAGTGTACCCCTCTGTGCATTTACCAAAAATTGCAGCTGCACCTATACATCTCTCAGTGCTTCTTTCCAGGGGAAATTGAGAGGAGGTTAAAGAAATATGAAGAAGAAGAGAAGTTTGTAAGATACAGTGAACCCTCGTTTATCGCGGTTAATCGGTTCTAGACCCTACCGTGATAAATAAAATTCCGCAAAGTAGGATTCCTTATTTGTAAATCAAATATTTTCATAGTTAGAGCATAGAGGACATGAAAAAACACCCTTTAGTCACCATTACACTCGTATTACCCAATTTATTAAACGAAAAAGGGAAAATACAGTAAAACATTTTGGACGTTACAATTATCATTTATTATTTATTATATTATTTATGGCATCTAGTTTACAGTATTACATATTTCACATACAGTATTATTATACATAGTTCTTACAAATACTGTAATCAATGGCGTGCAACCTCCACGATTTTCTTGCCATCTTTGATCATATCCAAAAGTTTTACCTTTTCCTGGATGGTGAGCATCTTCCTCTGGTGCTTATTTTTATTGTCAGAAGGCTTAGAAGAAGCAGCTCGTTTAGGAGCCATCATAGGGCTTAGATAAAATTTCTTAAAAATCGCAAACAATTACAGTACACTGTACAAAAGCAAAAATGCATCTGATACGTAGCTCCGATACGTAGCGATGCAGACAGAAGCGTGTACAGTATGAGCCAATCAGTGGCAGTAATGACAGAGCATGCGCTGTTACTCAAAAACCGCGATAGAGTGAAGCCGCGGAAGTCGAAGCGCGAAGTGGCGAGGGTTCACTGTATATGCAATTTAATCAAAGAGAATTTCAAAAATTCATTATCTGAAGATGTTTTAAAGATCAATTCTACATGAGATAGTTGAGATCTTGGTTTCCATGGCCATTTGTTCTCACGATCAACTGTGACCCCTCCCCTCCCCACCAAACACACACCCCCACACACAAACACACATACACAAGGACTTCAAAACTTTGTGGGAATTTCCATTATCTTCTCATTCCATTTCTCCACAGACTTTTAATAGACCTTCACACACACACACACACACACACACACACACACACACACACGGGATATCATGGATTTGTGAATTTAGCATTAGAAGGATACACAGAGGTGAGCTCTTATTTAATCCACCATGTCGTCCACTGCCCAGCATATCCCTGATAGGTGGTCCTCCAAGCTGTGCTTGCTGGCTTTCAGTAACAACCCACTGCCCTTGAGTCAGTTCCAGAGTGGGACTGTTCCATAGCGTTCCGGAGACTTTCCTGTGGAATAGCTGGTGGTTCTGAACCACAGACCTTAGCAGCTCAATACTTATTCCACAGTGCTACCAGCACTCCTTTTTTTTCAAAAATGGAAAATTTAATTACCTCTCAAGACAGCCTATTGCATATTTGGAGAAGATCTCTTTATGCTAATCCATGAAACATCCACTAAGTAGTGGCAGATGTTGGCATCAGAAGTAGCATAAAAAAGTCACGTCCCTCTCTTACCTGACAACCATTTACAAATGTAAAGACAGCCCTTAGAGGCCCCTGCATTTGCTCTTCTTCAGTTTAAACACCCCCAAGCTCTCCAACTATTTCTCATCAATTATGACTTTGTTTCTTTGTCTTTGATTATGACCTCAGGGCCAGTTTTTCATCTCCTAAAACTAACGGGGATAATTATATAAGTAAAAATAGGAGACATCATATCAAGTGCTTTGCAGGAATTGAAATATGTAATATCCCTTTGCTCCCCTCTCATCTTCTAATTTCACAATTCTATTAGAAAATCCATTAAGCATGACTGGAAATGATTTAGTCTTTATATTTTAAAAAAAACTCATGCTGCTATTGTTCACGATTCTGTTATTCTCCAGATATTTATTTGGTCCTTTCCTAAAAATGAGAGAGAGGAGAAAATACGAGCCCGGTAAATGCTTCTTGGTGTCTTGAGTAATTTGGCCTCAACAAATGTCAATGTGACATGAAAATTTCCCTTGAGGTTTTATTGTTTCTTTTACAGTGACTGGTTAATATTTCCTACATGGTTCTCAGAATTTGACTCCTGTCATTGACTGGGGAGTAAAATTGGAAAAGGATCCATTTAGGGGCAGTTAGCCTGCTGAGGGGCTGTGTAACTTAGAAAGCGCCGTGCTAACGGAACAAATGGAAACTGGGATTTAAGAGCTCTGCTAATATTTGTGGAATGGTCAAGAAGGATCCAGAAGAACAAATAGTTGAAACCCTCCATGTAGATGAAATAGTTTGACCCCATGTTTTAGCAGCGACACTTAAAGAGTTCCCTCCACTCCAGCAAAACCACTTTCTTCGTTGGCCCAATGCTTCCACACTAGGAAATGTTTTCCTATCAGGAAAGACATTCTATCTCTAGGAGTCTGTGAGCATCAAGTCCTCTGTGAGAATGACCCCATCCAACGAGAATCAGCTATGATGAATTTATCACATTGCTTTTCAAAGGGACTGCTAGGCAGGCCAGAGCAGGGACCTGAAACACAGAACAGGTCAATTGCCATAAGGGACTAGCAGGTGGCGCCAGAGCACAGTGGGGAGAAGAGTTGTGGCTGAAGTTGGCTGGAGTTGGAAGTTCTAAGAAGTCAGTGACTGGCAGGACTGAGCACTAGGTGTTCACAGAAGACCAAGGAAAAATGAGCAGGAAGGCAAATGTTTCGGGCCAAAAAGAAAGAACCTGAGAACAACACTGTGAAAGAAGTGAAACATGAAAGACTACATATAATGGTCTATTTGTTTCAAATGTTCCAGAAGAGGCAGATCTGTAGAAAGAGAACATGGAGTAGTAGCAAGGGACCGGGTGGGGTGGGTGGGCTGGGGTTGGAATAAGTGTTAATGGGTTTCTTTGGGGGAGGTGATAACAATGTTTTGGAATGGGATCATGATGATGATGGCGATGACAACGGCAATGGTTGCACACCCCTGTGGATATTTTGGCAAGGACTAAATTGCACATTTTAGAAGGATAAATTGTATGGTGTGTAGATTATGTCGCAATACATATTTTGATGGCATAAAAAATCCTCATAAATGGCCCTGCCACCATCCTGATCCTGTGAAAATCATAAAAACTCAAAAGCCACTTCCATTGAGTCGATGCCACCTCATAGCGACCCTATAGGCCAGGGAAGACCGGTCTCTGTGAGTGTGCAAGACTGGAACTGTTCATGGGAGTAGAGAGCCTGTCTTTCTCCCTCGGAGTTGCTGGGGGTTTCGACCTGCTGACCTAGCTGATCGAAGCCCTATGAGTCACCACTATGCCACCAGGAGTCTTGCGAAAGTCATACATCAATGGAAAAACTCTCCTACCTACTTCCTTTCCTTGCAGAGGGGTCTCGGGGAGGAGAGGAGCCAGTCAGGGTGTGATGTAGCAACGATGAAAAATACAACTTTCCTCTAGTTCCTAAATGCTTCCTCCCCGCTCCCACTACCATGATCCGAATTCTACCTTGCAAGTCTGGCTAGACCAGAGGATGTACACTGGTACAGATAGGAACTGGAAACACAGGGAATTCAGGGCGGATGAGCCCTTCAGGACCAGTGGTGTGAGTGGTGATACTGGGAGGGTAGCAGGAGAGTGGGTTGGAAAGAGGGAACGGACTACAAGGATCTATATATGACCTCCTCCCTGGGGGATGGACAACAGAAAAGTGGATGAAGAGAGATGTCGAACAGGGCAAGATATGACAAAATAATAATTTGTAAGTTATCAAGGGCTCATGAGGGAGGGGGAAGGGGGGAGGGAGGGGAAAAAATGAAGACCTAATGTTGGGGCCTTAAGTGGAGAGCAAATGTTTTGAGAATGATGAGGGCAATGAATGTACAAATGTGCTTTACACAATTGATGTGTGTATGGATTGTGATAAGAGTTGTATGAGCCCCTAACAAAATGATTAAAATAAATAAATAAACAAGCCCTCTCCTACCAGGAGCAGTTCTTAAACTGCAAAGACCGTCCATCCCTCTTCTCTCCCACCCCTCCCTCATGGGAAGCTTCAAGTCAGTCAGTCGCCAGGTGATGAGGCCCAAAGATGGTCCCAGGCTCTTGTGAAAAGCTTATACCCTGGCCTCTGAGCAGCTAGGTAGACAGCCAACTTGACTGTGGTGGCAGCTCAATCCTAAATCCTTAACTAAAAGTAATTCTGAGACAGAACACTGGAAATAAATTCCCTCATTTTCCCTTACTCCCTCTGAGATGTTAATGAGAGGGGCTGTTCTGCATACTACTGGACATCTTTCCAAATTCACAGTGACGCGATTGGCAGGATCAGAAGCAGCTGCAAGAAAGCCAAGCCAGTCCCTGCTCCCCACTCGTTGCCATCGCCTACGAATTTCAAAGCCCTTTATAGCCACACAAAGGGCCTGTACCAGAAGAATCTGCTGCAGAGGCAAACATGGTTTAAAGAGGCCCTTCTAGGACTTCAGCCACTAAACTTCCTTCTGGAGGGTCAAGCCTGTTACCGGGATGAGAGTCAGCCTAGAGCACATTGGCCCTGTCCTTGGGAGGCCTTGACACCCAGCTGGTGTCTAGAGACAACGAAACACGTAGATGTGCAAATGCCCAAGGCCAGTTTTCTAATCCAAATTCCCCATCTGACCTTTTGACCTTTTGTGTCAACAAATAGGATGTGTATCCTTTTGAGTCAGGCCTGGGAAATAGATAAATCAGGCGGTCTTGACCTTGCCCCAACAGGTAAAACTGCAAAATGGTCCTCTGTAAACAAAACTGAATCCCTAGGAGCAGATGGCTTAAAATTGAGATAATTGTGCATTATCTCTTCTTGCCTGGCATTCCACAGTGCAACATCATTTTCTAGTTTAGATAAAGGTTGTTTGTTGGTTGGTTGTTGTTATTGTTGTTGTTAAGACCACAAGGGCCCAATTTCAAGGGATGATCATTAGTGTTTTCAATTCTGGGCAGACCTGACCCAGAGTCAGGCCTGTACAGTCTGAGACGTCTCAGACCAGGTCCCGAATGAAATGCCCGAGGCACTATTATATCCTAAGAGGCTTCCAGATCCCAGCCCACTGCCCCCCTCAAACTTTCGGCTGCTTCTGGCCTGAGACTTCTGTTTTGTCCACCCCAGTCACCCACCTGGAAGAAGGGCGACTAGAAGATACAAGGCTTAATCCTTGAAACGTGTGACATTTTATTGAAGCCTCCCTCTGTGAAGTGGCAGTTTGGATGCCTGGAATATTCTGGCTTGGTCTAGGAGAAAAACTTTAGACTTAATATATATATGTATATAATATATATATATATATATATAAACTTTAGGCTTAAATATATATATGTATAGTGTTGCTAAGTGGCAGGCACAGCTCCCTCTTATGAGACCAGAGAAGTGACTTTGGGTTAGGGTTGGGATAGCTATTGTCCCCAAGACTTGGTAACCAAATCCTTTGGAGAGGGTGGTTATGGCTGTCCTAACAGGGTCTACAAGTGGGTTCAGATTTTAAAGCCCATCAGATTCCCCCGTGGATTTAGTCAACACTAAAATGCCCTGGTTCCACCCCACCAGAGATTCCGAGTCAGTACAAATGGGTTCCTTGGTGAGGCCCTGGTTGGCACGCTCCACTGCTAACCAAACAGTTGGAGATGCGAATCCACCTGGCAGTCCCTCCAAAGGAAGAGCTGGTGATCTCCTGGAGAAAAATCAGTCCTTGAAACCCCCGAGTCGTGCCGCTTTACATTGAGTCTCCATGAATTAGAGTCAGCTCCGGGCCAATGGGTTTTACTCGGCAAGACCCCCCAGGGAACTGTGCCTGAAGCAAGAACACCAGGTAATGCTATGCAGATGGTCCAGGGAGAACCTTGCCGTAGCGTTTCGTCAGCACAGCAACGAGGATACCCAATCACCTTGACCCCATCCTTAGGAAAGGACACCAAGAGAGATGAGGTCAATGTGGGGTTACACCTGTGATCACGTGATCCCTGTGGCATCTCACGAAAAGCTGCAAACTGGGTTCAGAATAGGTGTGTCTGGTACGATGTGACTTGTTGGATGATTCTGATGACTCTCTATTTGCTTTTACTTGCAACTCGCGGACACCTGTACACCCTAGAAACAGAGATACCAGACATAGGTAAGCCAATCCTCTGGGCAGCTGCCTAATACCCCCTCTGGCCTCAGAGGTCACATCCCAGTGCTGTGCTAACAGGGAAATCTTGCTTACTAAGTAAGCTGGAAGGAATGATATGAAAGTAAAACTGGGAGTTATGACGCAGGTAAGTGTCTTCCAAGAGGAGGCGTCTCCAAGAAGTGGGAACTGATTGGAGAAGTGGAACACACAAGAGGAACAGGATAAGAAAACGCTGGCAATTCAGCACTCAACAGAAAAGCAAGGCCTTGTTTCTCATTAGGTTACCTTAGGCGAGATTACACGGGAATCTCTATGTTCAGAGGGATTTCGTGTTTGCTGGTTGCGGTAGGGAGAGAGATCAATCAGCACCCTCCCTAGATTCCAGACCTATAGTGACAAGGGTATGAAAGAGACCTCTATGACACTGGGTTGTCTAGAGAAACAAAGCCAGTGACACGCATATATGTGTGGAAGAGAACTTTCTAACAAGAAGTCATTTTATATCAAAAAGGCATCCCAGCCCAGTTCAACTCAAGTCCATGAGTGAGGTGCTGGCCAGAGCCCTCGTCAGCCTCGTGGAGCTGCAGGTCGATGGCACCGAAAGGGAAAGCAGGAAACAGGGAGATCACAGGCCGGTGGGTGAAGAGTTGTGGGGCTTCAAAGTTGGTGGGGACACAGCAGGGCACCCACAATTCTCCAGGTTGGCTCCAAGGGTCAGCAAGCCACCCACATGGGCTGCCCTGGAGGTGGACAGATCCACAGCAAGGATGAAGGTGAAGGGGGCAAAAAGAAGTTCCCAGTTTCTCTCTAATGAAAAGTCCATGCCCCCAAGGAGGCATCACCAGGCCACCACTTCCACACAAGTACCACCAAGTTGACAGAAACTCTAATGGCCACAAAACCTGACCATGAGGATTGTCAATCCAATTTCCTCCCTTATGTCTATTATGTCACGTCAGGGTTTCAGTTTCTTCCCAACAGAAAGAAGTTAATCAAAAATCCTTATAACTGGCCACTCACCGACAACGCACATATTGCTGAAATTAATCATAATGAGTAGTTCTATTCAATTTGTTTATGCATTACACTTGTCAAAATTACCTGAAATTGCAAAGGAGAAAATTGAATTTGTTCATTCCCGAATGCTGATTGTCATCAAGATGGCACTGATCGGGTCTTTAATTTGGATTTCGTCTGGGAGATGCCACTTCCTAAATGCCAGTGCACGAGATCAGCCTTGCTACTTTGGCATAACTGATTCCTTAAGCAAATTAAGCCGGCTGTCAAATTGCTTACTGGTAAAGTGTTGCATAGTATTAATTACAAGCATTAGTTGCCCATTTTACAAGCTATGTGGCTTTAACTAGCATGAATGAAGTGATCTTTACTAAGTTGAAGGGCATTGCTTGAATGTAAAATGAACCAGAAGGTGACAATTAGTCAGCACCAGCACTACGAAAATCCCTTTGCCATGCTCACATCTCAATGCCCACTTCAACACCAGGGATTCAAAAGAATTGCACCCAAGTCCTGTGGGCATTCAGCAAGGCTTTCTCTGGCCTGGCATGTTGTCAGAAGGTAGAGAGAAACCAGTCTCAAAAGAGCTGAAGTGCACTTGAGAAATGGCTTGAAAAGGCAAGAAAAGACACATATATCTTTGGAGGGGCCCTTTCTGACTGCTGGCAGTCAAGAAGCTAACATTAATCAGAGTTGAGTTTGGTGTGTTAGGCTGTTCTGTTTTCTAAAGGCCAGTGCACAAGGTTTGAACCCAGCCACATAAGAGGTGTTGCCCCTTGAGACGAAGGTAGGAAGTCTTTCTTTCTTTCTGTCTGTCACCTTCAGAACAAAAATAAGATATTTTGCACACATGTGATCGGATCTCTTCTTAGTCCAAACACAGATTTGTCAGTGACCCTGGGAAAGTCCCCAATGGGCTTGGGCTTCCCCAGCTGAGACGGAAGGAGAATGATAATTGTAACTTCCCTCACAGGCACTTGGGGGATATTCAATAATGGATGAAGGTAATGCATTCCAGAGTGCTTCTGCACGAATACCATTTCTCTTGGAAAAATAGCCTGTGGACTCTTCCTAAACAAAGCATGATTAAGCTGCCTCCATTGGGGTCTCTTGAAAACTGATTACCAAAGAAACGAAGGTGGTTTTGTGGGAAGGTGGTGAGCCTTCCCTACGCTAGAAAGAGCTTAGGGCAAGGGAGAGATTTTCCTCTGAAGGAAGAATTCCACGAAAAATGTACAGACTTTTTCTCGAACCCCTCAAAAGTAGTCCTTGTGACAGAGCTGCTTGGTCTACTATGACTGCCAAATTAATTCTGGAATCGGTTGGGGCCCTTAACAGCTTACTTACAGCAACTGTCCTGATAGTCCTAGGGTTGAAGACACCCCTGGCATCCACCGGTTTCTCTAGTTTGATGAAGGTAAGTAGGAAAACAGCGAGTATGCCAACAGGATCTGATTTTTTTTTCCCCAATGAAAAACTGAAACCTGAATCTCAGCTTTCTATCATTAACATACTTAAATTGGCTTATAGGACAAATACATTTCCGAATACAAGGAGGAACATACCACTTCCTAAGGGTGTCTTAGCCATTCTGAAGACCTTGGCCTCTCCATTTTTGCTTGGCTAAGTAATCAAAGCCTGAACCCTGGAGTGTCTTCGCTGATTTCCTGGCCTCCAGTGGGGTTGTGTTCAGCACCTACTGAACCTCAACCCTGGCAGGCTCCCTCTCTGCACTGGGAATAGAAAGATGACTGCATGTGCTGAAGAGAGAAGGATGACTACCCTGCCGATAAAGCACTCACAGGATAGTTGGGGGAGAGAGAGGGAAATGTAAGCACATGAACGCTGATGCCCGGCACCCACATCTTGGTATCTGATACTGCTCAGCAGTAAAAGAGACTTGGAGAAATGGCTGATTCTTGCACTGAGGCAGTAAGTAGACATGATGAACTTGGAGCAACTATTGTGCTATTAAATAAAGAAAGGCTTAAAAAAGGTTTATGCCTATCATAATGGAGGGCTGTCAGAGATATACAGAAATCAGCTGAAAGTGCTTCCTATAGCCAGAGCTGAATAATTTGAACAACAAACTATATCAAGTAGTATTGGATTATAACTCAAAATAGAAAATAAATATTCATGAGTTCATACCGATATAAATAAATGGTGGTATACATAAATAAATGGAGGAGATGAGACAAAACTGCCAAGCAGAAAAATTCTAAATAATATACCTAGATAATTTGCCCTGAAGGAGTTGGAGCATAACTTCCAATCCCTGAGGGTGGGCTGTGCATAGTGACTTCCTTCCCAAAAGGACAATATGAAAAGTAGTGGGAATGAGTAACTGGACAGTGGAGAAATCTTACAAACACTACATCAGCCAGGTGTTGAAGGTCACCATCAACAGTGCTAAGTCAAATTGATTGAATGTACCCTTGATAGGAAATGATGAGAATGTGGGAATGACATTTTACCTGTGTGGTCATCCTCTTAAAGACCCCACAATGCTTGTCGAACTGTGAGAAAAACATCAGACGTATTTCAGTCGAGGAGCATCCCACAAAAGACCTGGTCAGTCCTCAAAACTGGCAAGGTCACTGAAAACAAAGAAAGTCTGAGAAACTGCCCCCAAGGAGACATGGCGACTAAATGTCACGTGATACCCTTCGGTAAAAACTAAGGAAACCTGGAAAAGTATGGCCTTTAAGTAATCATTATAATCAAAGGATGTTAATACGGTGCTGCTAGATTGGGTACTTCTCTCTGAACATTTCTTACCCTCATAACTTCTCTCTGGTAACATTTGTGACTGATGACAGTCCTAGCTGTTTACTGCTCTGTCTCTCCCACTAGACTGCGAGTTTCATGCAGACAGGGGCTGTATCTTATACACAGGTAGGTCTACAGACCATGGCGTTGTCCCTGGGCACAGTGAATGTACTCAGTGGATGTTTCTCAATGAATTCCTGAACAAATTCAGGATACAGCATGAATGGTGCCAGGGAAGGAGTGACTAGTCCCAGTGAGAGATGCTGGAGTCTTAGACTGACAGCAGAGATAAAGAGAGGTGGGAAAATTGGAGAAGAATTTGGGAAGCCCAATCAATAAAACATGTTGATGTGGGGAATCGTGGAAAGAAGAGGTCATACAGAATGGCTTCTGGTGTCTGGCGTAGAGACAGGGTGCTAGACCGAGTTCAAGGCATGAGAAGAGCAGAGAGAAATCAGACAAGTTTCCTGTCTCCATGAGCTCAAAGTCTCCTTGAGAATAGAGGCGCTTACACAAGGATTTCCCCCGTGATATGTAATCTCCAAGGTAAATTTAGGCAAATAGCCCAGACTGGAGATTCAGGGGAGACTTTCTTTATGAGTTGACACCTGAGTAACGCGTTAATGGGTGAGTGAGAATTGACTGAGTGAAGAAAGTTCAGGTACCACACAAGGAAACATTCAAAATGGTTTTTTGAAGCTGAGAACCAAATGATTGATATTTGACTTCGCTCTGGAGGCCGGGGGTGGGGAGCAGAGTTAAGATGTCAAAGACATCTCCTATCAACCAAACTATACGAAATACTTTTGAACTAAAGAAATGGTAAAAGAAGGGGGGGTAGAAGGGCTAGACAGAAGAGAATGGTTCTGAAAGCTAATTTGTAAACACAGTTTCACATGGAGAGGAAAGGAGAGATTAAGGACAACGTCCCAAATTAGGACTTGGATGATGTCCCTGGTCCACGAATCTAAAAGCAAAGTATCCCCCAACCAAAGTTACTGCAGCCATGGGGAACGAAATGAGAGTAGGAAGAATCAAAATTAATGAATGAGCTCAGCCATCGATGCAGATGAAAGTAGCACAAGCCATCCCATGTGAATCTGCAGCTGAAGAGTCAGTCATACCCCAAATCCACAGTCAGTGAGCTTGAGTGTGACCTGTGGAAACATGGCTGATTTCGATGACAACAAGGAAAGGGGTTCAATCTAAGTTGTTCTCTTGGGTCCTGAAAGAACAAAGAATGGGTCCGAGAAATGCGATGACCAAATTGCACAAGGAAAATGTGGCAGTGTATCTCCAGCACAGTCCTCCCTGAAGCCACCTCTTCCACTTTTATGCGCATCTCTTCATTTGCAACAAGAGCCTGGGAAGATGGTAGCGTCCCCAGTGAAGTAGGGAGCTCTGGAAGAGAAGTAAGTTTTGATGGATGGAGAAAGCAGGAAAAGAGATGCAAATCTATGTGGGGTTGATTGAGTTTCAGATTGAGACATCCAGGAAGTCATCTTGTAGGTCAGTCAGTGTGAGTAAAGGGGTCATTGGGATTTTTCTCTGTTCTGTTTCTTTCTACCCCCAGGTGGATAGCATTTAAGTGGCAGCATCCTTACAAGTTAGCAGTACACACTGAATTTTTAATATATAACCAGCCCCAATTCTAGGAAAACAAAATATAAGCATTGTATGTATAACCATTACCCAGCTCCTCAGTACAAAAAAAAAGGAAGATCCATCAATTCTTTCATCTCGTAAGAGATCTTTTCCATCTGTGATCAAAGGCGGACCCCAGGGGGTGCATGTTGAACAAATTGCTTTGAATAACTTTGCTTTTCTCTTTCTCAGCACAAGTCCTGCTCACAAATACTATCTGGCTATGGACCCTATGTCTGAATCGCTTTATCTCTCAGACACCAATACACGAAAAGTCTACAAGTTGAAATCTCGTGTGGAAACAAAAGACCTGTCCAAGAATTTTGAAGTGGTGGCAGGAACAGGTGACCAGTGCCTTCCCTTTGACCAAAGTCACTGTGGAGATGGCGGGAGAGCGTCAGAAGCTTCTCTGAACAGCCCTCGAGGTAAATAATAATAATAATAATAAATTTAAGATTAAAATCCTTTTTGTCATCTAAAGATTTCATTTGACTTCTTAAAAACCATTTTGAGCTATCTAAGAATTCTGTTTGACTTCTTACAAAGCTAACATTGTAAGGGGCTCTGTTGTCGCAGTAGTTAAGTTTTGGACTGCTAACCGAAAGGCTGGTAGTTCAAACCCACCAGCCGCTCTGTGGGGAAAATGATGAAGTGTTTCTGTAAGGATTGACAGTCTCAGAAACCCTAAGGAGCAGTTCAATTGTGTCCTGTGTGGTGTGGGCACTATGCATCAGAATGACCTCTAACACATTCTTCTTGATGTTCTGCCTCTAACAGACATCTTCTCTGAAGTTACCTCAGAAAGTAGGCACTTCTGGGACGAATTGACAGCCAGTATGCATTAGTATAGCCAAATGTGTTATTAGAATATGGAAATGTTTCCTTTTTGGTTGATCAATAGCTATTGTCTGAAGCCCCATTGTGTCTCCCCTGACCCCCTCAACTTCTCCTCAGGGATTGCCTCTTTGTAATGCCCCACAATTCAGTAGCTCAAGGTGAACTCCTTGGTTCAGCAGGGAGCTCTCAGACTCTGTCACTGCAGTGGTTCATATTAGAGCTGTACCCACCTTTTAAGAAGCACTAGTGGCACAATGGTAAATCGTTTTGGATACCTCAAAGACCCTAAACATTCCTGACTTTTGCAAAGCCACTGTAACTAAAGCCTTCTTCAGTCAATTGACCTAAATCATTCTTGAAGTTACTTAGGTTTTTCATTCATTCCACCAGTAGGATAAGAAATTCCATTACTTGGATTTGCCTTCTGTGGGTATGAGGCCTTAACGTTTCCATGTCCCAGTTTTACTACGCAATCTTCAAGGTCCAGCCCTCAATCATAGTGCTCAAACTTTCGTGTGAAGGAAAAAAACAGTGTGTGTTCATCATTTTGTACATTTGGATCCCATTGTCATCTAGCCGCTCAGCTGAAGGATCATCAACATTTCAGACTCACCTCACACACCAGGAGGCTGAAAACATAGAATTAAAAAATAATGGTATCTTTCCATGAACTTTTTGAAGCACCCTTGTAGCATCTACCCTAGCTCCTTAATTATTTAGTGACTTGTTTCTTCTCCAAGATCTCTTTTCCGCAGCCATAAGAGTGGGTTTTGTACAGTCGCTGTCTGTTGTGGTTCTTAAGGATTGCCACACAAGTAATCCACAGGGGTTGCAGAGAACTCTGAACATTAAGATTGCCGTGAATATCCTTGTAGAAGTTTTTCTTTATGCAGATCACATATTTTATTCCTTAAAAACTGAGTCATATTACACAATACTCTTCCCTAACCTGCCTTTCACATTTAATGCATTATGAACAGTTTTCCAGGCCAATAAATACAGTGGGGTCAATGTGCTTAATTTGTTAGGTGGTCACTTATTATTTCAAATATTAAGTGGCTGCTGTTTAACCATTTGACATTTGCCATATTGGTATTAAATTCTAGTATGCTCAGAGTTTAAAGCCTTTTCTTCAGGATTAAATTCAAGGCCTCTGTCTTTCATGAAGCCCTCCCATTTAACCCTAACTCATTAAATCTGCATTTCTTTAACACCCTCTAAACTACCCAATAAGCACTTAATGTTATTTTTTCTTTACTTTTCAGTTCTTTCATGAATGAGAGATTGTTTTCCTCTCCAACCAAAATACTTGAGATGAGAAACTACATCAAATATTTTTTTTGAATCTTCCTCAACTCTCCCACTCCCTGCTACTTCTAGCACAGCATGAAGGCCACTCACTATCTGCATCTGTTGGACAATTCATCAATTAGTTAATTCTTGCCTATACTAAGAAATTCTGATGCCATAGTGGGTTACACATTGGACTGCTAACCACCAGGCCAGCAGTTCAAACCCACCAGCCACTCTGGGGGAGAAATTTGAGGTTTTGTGCTTTCATAAAGATTCTTAACCTCAGACACGCAAGGGGGCAGTTCTACTCTGTCCTAGAAATAGATGTACTCTGAGTTGGGACCAACTCCATAGCAGTGAGTTTACCTGAGAATAATTTCAGTGTCCCTTTCAGGGAGTGACTTTTTTCCTAAGAAAACATTAAGTCCTCATGTACCCAAGTGTTCAGAAATGTTCCTTCTCCCTCCTATCCCAGCTCTCCTTTCTGACATTCGCGTTCCTTCCACAGACTAAACCTAGCCCCCTGCCACTGAGTGAGTCCAAAGTAGGACCGCCACACCCTTTCCCTTGGGATTCGAACCATCGGCCCTTTAGTTAGCAACCAAACACTGAACCGCTATGCCACCAGGATGACAATAGATCTTGTTGAGTGACTAAATAACCCAGGTGTAACATATAATCAGCTCATCTTTCAACGAAATACATCAGACGAGATCCCAGCTATTAGATGGGTTTAACACTCTTCTTCTTCTTCTTCTTCTTCTTTTTCTTTTTTTTTAAATCATTGTATCATGGGTTCGTATTGTACACCACTTATCACAAGTCATCCATCCATTGGGTCAAGCACATTTGTGTACATATGTTGCCATCATCATTTTCAAAACATTTTCTACTTGAGCCCTTGGTATCAGCTCCTCTTTTTATAGGTTTCACACTCTTGCAGGTATGCTAGGGGTTTCTGCACAGAAAACGGACAGGGATCAAGCTTGCACTGTTCCCACAAATTGACATTTTGAGTTGCTGAGTTGCTGCTAGTATGAAAACCACTCATCACACCTACCACCTTCTATGTGCCACGTAGAGAAGGCATATCTCAGCTTTCCAAAGACAGCAAAGAATTGGCTCAGTGCCACTTTGTTGGTGTTGTTGTTGCAGTTTGGACTCAGAAAGCAGCAATAATAGAGTCCTGATGAACAGGATTTACATGAACCCTTGAAGCATCGGTAATGAGAGTGCCAAGATTTATATATCTCGTAAACTTAATATGAAGCTGCGGTTTTCTTCCTGTCTTAGCTAGTAGTGCATTTTCCTTTGGCTTCATTTACTCCTCTTTCTATCCAAGAGTGGCCTTTACCATAATGGGCACACTCTATTCATCCCTAAGCAGTAAGGGGTCCTAAGAACATCTGGCCCTGGCTTCAGACAGCTGAATATCTAATCCATCCAGGTCAGCATTCACATAATGCCCTGATGCTGATGTTGAGAACATCTGCTCTGATCCAGTGGGTGAGCTCAAGATGCTTAACCGAGGGAGGGGGAGGGCATGGCTCAGACTTAGGAGCCCCCACATCTCCTTCAACCATGTTAGCAGGATTTGAAGACTCTATTAGTGATCCTCACAATCACCCAGATGGCAGAACCTATGTCCAGACATCAGTCACTCCGCACATGCTGGTCAGACCACTTAGGAGCCCAGCTAGGTCACCTCACTCTATGCCAAATATAGACAGCATTCACCCTTGGCAGTAAATCAGATATGAGATTCTCATTATAGGAAATGCTGCAGGGCAATTTCAGAGACTTGCACCGAAGGAGGAACAATCATGCAAGAAGTCATTAAAGCACAGTGTGCAGGTTGAGAGGAAAGCATTGCTAATTGCATCTTTGAGGTTCTCCTGCAGGTTCCTGGACCCCCAGAGAAGTCTAGCATGCCTGTGGGTAATGCTTGGTTTTTGTTTTCTGTTTTTGTTTTACAACTGCCATGCACTTCAACTTCAAAGGAGCCCCTCTGTCACCTTTCTGCCTTCCCCCCTTGAAAGACAGCACATGTTTAATGCATTTCTTTAAAGAGAAGTTTGATTCCCCCCACCCTTCCACGCAAAAGCTAATAAAGAAAAGCTGTAGATAATTAGAGAATGGAAGTGCACATTGAGGGAGTACCATTTCTAAGTTAGGAATGAGAGCTTGCTCTAAGACTTTAACAAGCTACATACTGCAATTAGAGTCAGACTCTCCAACATGTCCTGAATGAGGCAAGGTAAGTCAAATAAATGTTAATCTGCAAGACAGCTACTTTACTTTCTGACTCTACTCCTCCCCAAAAAGGATGAAATAAAATCTGATTTTTGAAATCGTTTATTCTAAAACTGTAGTAAATCATCCAACAGCATTACAAGCAGTCAACAAAAGGTCAGAAGCCAAGGAATTTTATTGTCTTGGTATTGTGTGGAAAATGGCAGCAACGTGTGAGGGGATGGCTGCTTAGGGAATCTGGCCTCTCTTGTCCAGTCCACAATAATGCCAGTGTTGCCTTGTATGACCTTGTGTGAGCCAGGGTACCTCAGTATGGTTTCATTCCTGTGGACACTAAAGCAGACTTAAGTACTGCATTGACTTGTTTTTGTGACACCATGTTAGTCATTCAAACCCTGGGCCTGGAGACTCCTCAATTGTAAAATGAAGGTCTCATAGGATAATCTTGTAATCTCCCTTCCAGCTCTATTAGAACGACCATAGCTATAGTTTACTCGTAGTACCTATTATTTAGGTATTCTCAGTAAAGTAGCACTTAGGTACTTGAATTAGTCTGGGTTGACTAGAGAATCAAATTCATAGACACTCGTATGTGTATAAGAAAGAGCTTTATATACAAGAGCAATTGTACATTAAGAAAGCATCCCAGCCCAGTGCAGTCCAGGCCCATAAGTCCAATAGTACCCCATATGTCCAGTACCAGTCTATGAATTCCTCTCCAGACTCACACAATGCATGCAATGATGCCAGACCGTCACAGACCAGTGGGTGGAAAGTCTTGTGTATCCAGTGGTGGTAGAGGCATCTCAGCGCTGGCAGGGGTCTCCACGTGGCTCCTACCACTCCAGGGCTCCAGGGTAGCTGCATGTGTCTTGTCAGCTGCAATGTCTCCCAAGGAGTGAGCGTGTTTTCCACCTCAAGTGAGCGATTTATCTCCTTAGCACCTCCAAATGATGTCAGCAAACTGCCACCTGATTGACAGGCTAAACTCCACCCCTTCGCTTTTAATCCTCTCAAATTGACAACAGATTATGTACTTCTC